TACTTACCTGAGACTCAAGCCAACCACCTACGTCCAACATCATGGACCAGAATTTCTTTTCCATTCCAGAACTTTCAGAATACTTGTCCTCGAAGCACTGAACATCCCTGCCATCATTCTTGGCTTTTTTTATAAAAGTATGAAATTTCTTCAGTATCGTCTCACTGGGATGACTCCTTTTCTTCCCCTTGTAGGGCACATAAGGAGATTTGGTAAATTTTCCCCTTCCTTTTGTTCTTCGCCCCCTTCCCAACAATGCCTACAAACAATCATAAAGAATATATCATAAAACAATTCAACTACTTGAGAAAACAATTTTGAGTTTTACCTGTTTCTCTTCATCATTAAGTTCAACAATTCTAACATCATCAGCATCACTAACATCTTCTTTGCGAACCAAACCCTTGGCAAAAGCATCGCAAACATAATCAATAATACGAAATGGTTGCTCAACCTTATCATCACCCTATCAATTATTAAGTGTAATATATATGTCAAAGTTTAATATTTTAAAAAATAAATGTAGTCGATATTATAATATTAAAAAGTTTTGTGGTTTACCTCTTTCGTTTTATTATCAAGTTCAGCAGTATCACCAACATTCAATCCTGGATCAACCTTCTCATCACCCTTCAATTATAATTATAATATATATGTTAATGATTAACCTTTTGGTAAGAAATAAGTAGTCGATCTTCTGTATTCGACCTTCTTTTGGTCGATCATTTATAAGTTACCTTTTCACTCTCCTCAGCTAACTGATCATGAACCGTCTCATTAGAGACATCAGCAATATGCAATCCTGGGTCAACCGTCTGATCACCCTTGCCATTATCAGTATAATATATATTAATGCTTAATCTATAAAGAAGACATAGGTCGGTAGTAGATGTTTATTATTTAAGTATGTAGTTACCTCTCCACTTTCTTCTGTTGTTTCCAATGTACATAAGTTTATTGTCTGCAATGAACAAACAACTTCTTCCTCACACTGATACTGATGAACCTATGTAATCAATTTATCATTTTCCTATATGAAAAATAGTAACGTAAGTATTCATGATCATAATTTGGTCGATTACTAACGTAAGTAGTCGATCATAATTTGGTCGATTACTTATAGGTTACCTCTGATTCCCCTAAGCCAATAGAGTCATCAACAATGTTCAGTCCTGGTTCAACCGTCTGATCAACCTTGTCATTATATGTATAATATGTATTAATGCTTAATCTTTAAAGAAGACAAAGGTAGTAGATTTTTTCGGTCGGCCCTCTTTTGGTCGATTGTTTATTATCTATTTAGTTACCTCTCCAATCTCTTCACTTGTCTGCAATGTACATACATTTTCGACTTCATGACCCTGCGGAAAACAATTGGTATATACACATTCAAAGCCATCACCCTTGCAATTGAAAAAACAGTTGAAAAACGCTTTGTAAACTCAAATATTTTTTTATTAAACTACTGAACCTTAGCCATAGAGTCTTGAGCATCTTCCGACTCTTTTTCTTCTTCATTTTCCTAGAAGAAAAATAGTAATGTATTATTAAAATGCACATCAAGTCGACCACTATTTTTTACATAGATTCAAAGTCGATCCAATATTAGTCGATCGAATCTTCTTATTCAAAGCCATCACCCATGCAATTGAAAAAACAGTTGAAAAAAACTTTGTAAACACAAATATTTTTTATTAAACTACTAAACCTTAGCCATAGAGTCTTGGGCATCTTCCGACTCTTTTTCTTCTTCATTTTCCTAGAAGAAAAATAGTAAATTATGAATAAAATATACATCAAGTCGACCACTTATTTTTTACATAGTTTCAAAGTCGATCCAATATTAGTGGATCGAATCTTCTTATAAACAAACAGTTTGGTTTAAGCAAATACTTTTGATTAAAATATACCTTTTTTTCTTGTTCTATCTCTTCAACCTGATACTGTTCATTCATCTTTTCATTTCCTTGAGCTTCTTCTTCTTCTTTTTCCTAGATGAAAAGTAGTAAAGTAAGTATTCATGATCTTACATCTTTGTTAACATCTATACGAATTACCAATATTAACGTAAATTCTAGAATCAAGAACATGTTAAATATACAGCAAAGTCGACCACTTTTTTATTACATATTTACAGGTCGACCAAATATTAGTCGGCGGAATATTTTATACACAAATGTTTGGAATTAAACGATGTACCTTCTTCTCTTGGTCGAACTTTTCAGCCTGAGCCTCTTTGTCTAAACCCTTTTCATCTTCTTGCTCCATTTTCTTTTCAGAATCGTCACTCTCTTCATTTTTCTAGATGGAAAATAAGTAAAGTAAGTATTCATGACCGTTCACAAAACAAAACAATTCTACCAGCTTTAAAAATATTACAAGTCCATTAACAGCTTTAATGCATACGCAATTACCTCCTTTTTATGCTCAGCCCCCTCAACACTTTTCTCCTCTCCTCTAGCAGTGGACTATATAAGGAAAAAATTATAACTAATTATTGAAGCTCAAGTTTTAAAGGTTTATCTTGCTATAGAATTAAGACAATCCTTAACAAGTAACTCTTCAAGTTTCTTGTGCCTCTCTTCTGACCGTTTCTCCAACTCCAGAAACTTTTTGTCATAATGCTCTTTGAAAGAATTGAGCCTTTTTTCTGAAAGATCCTCCAGTTCTTTAAACTTTTGTTCAATATACATTTTTATTGAATCTTCATTGGAAGGAGGCTTAGGAGAAGCAGCAGGGGTTTTGGGGGAGTGTTTCTTTTTCTTTCTTTGTTCCTCTACATGGGCAGTAGGTTGAGGAGAGGCAATAGGGGTTTGAGGAGGAGAGTGTCTCTTTTTCTTCTTTCTTTTTTCCTCCACTACACCTTCTTCTTTCTTCATGCTCAGCAACTTCATCTTTTTAGGAGGATTCTTCTCCTCTTTAGGACTCTTGACCTCACATGATTTTCTTTTCAAAGAGACTGGAAAAAGAACCAATTTTCTCTCTAATGATTTCACAAATCCATCCAGCTCAACATGTGGGTGACTGTCTTGTACAGGATCCAAACTTCTGACCCAATCAGTAGTTTTCTCCAAATCATCAGGTAGTAGAATACTCTGCACCCTCTGTAACAAACATTTAGTTCTTCACTTTTAGTTGTATAAACAAAACAACGTATTATCGACCGTGTAGTAGTCGATCACGTTTATTTGTTCGACCACAATCTGGTCGAACAAAGGTTATAAGTGTGAAAATGTTCTTACCTTTATTGATTCTTCAGCCACTTGAACCTGTTCAGTGCTGATCCTTTTTGTCGTATTTGGACGATAGAGACGTAACCTCGGCAAAGTAGGCACACAATTAGGGAGTCTCATTGCAAACTTCTCGGCAAAATCAGGGGCGCATTCAAAAAGCAATATCTATTAAAACAAAATTTGAAAAAGTCAAGAAATGCTAGACAAATTGTTATTACAGTATGCAAAATAGAATCTGCAAATGATATTAACAAAGGTCCTTACCGAAATTGGGATTAAGAATCCAGGGAAATTCATTGTTGCTGACTTATTTTTAGCAATTATTTCATCTAGCTTTTTCTCCAAGTCCATATGTTTCAATGCATCTAATGAGCCCTTATACGCCCACGTACCCCATGGGAACTCGTTTTCTTCTTTTCCCCCTATTTTCCCAATTATCCATTCAGGAATGGGAGCTTTTCTCTTAGAAGGAGCTAGAAGGACCATCACTACAAACATGAGTATAACTACTCTGATCACTTCTACTTCAGCATCCTTTTTCAGTTCGTCCTCAGCTTCAGGGTCCTTCAAAGTTGTGCACAATTGTACAAATCTAGCTACAACTGTTTCATAGCTAACAACTCCCTCAAAATCTTGATCAAAATTCTTCTCAATGAATCTGGCCTTTGAATCATTATCAAAATCATCTTCATAATTGCTAGCAAGGGCGCTGCAGGTAAGCCCGCTGATTAGAGCAAATTCTGTGAGAGAGTAGCGTACTGGAACTCCCTTCACGACAAACCATGCCTCCGATTCAATATCAATTTTGGCTAATCTAGACACGATTGACCACAAATGTAATGGAACAGGGATGAACTCAACATCAATGTATTTCCCAAATACACTCGACCTAAATGCACCCATGAGATTGGGAAACTCACCAAGATTGTCGAAAATTAATTCTATAAATTCATCCAATTTTTGCCTTACTGTGAGCTTCATGCTCGGGAACAACGAGCAGTCCACCACAGGAGGCAAGGAAGGAACCTGCATATAAAAAAAATTACAGATGTTCGACTAAGATACGGTCGAACCAATGGTTTACAACTCCGTTTCGACTAAGATTGGTAAAAAATGTATGTTTAGTTCGACCAAATGATTTTACAGAAATTCACTCCGGATTAACCACCAATGATACTTGTATAATTGGTAGGTATGTTTACTTAGAAAAAATAGTGAGAAACATGCATTGCGTTTTCAAAATAATCAAACATGATTTGGGTCGACTGAGTTGAGTTCGGATTCGAATGAACATCTATAGCTTTCATTTGAGAAATTACCACGTCTAGCTTTCTAAAGAACCAAGTATCGCTCTCAAGCAATCATAAATAATCTAACATTTACCTGAATATTGAGTTCATCTTTGGCTTCCATCACTTCAGATGCTTTCACAAGTCGCCGTCTTGCTTGGCTTTTCCCAAGAGGAACCGTAGGACTTTTGCACTTCATGATGATGGAAGGAGATGTAAGAATGCTCCTCGTCGAAGTCGAAGTAGAAATCGAGGAATGCTTGTGCTGGAAATCGAAAATGCTTCTGCCCTAACCCGGAGCTCGACCGAAATCGATTTCGACTGATAGTGAATGATGAAGTGTGTAGGAAGGGGAAGCTGGGATTCCGGAAGTTGGATTGTGGAAGCTGGTGGGACCAACAAGCCGTTTCCCGTTTTTCGAAATCGGATAGACAGTCGTTTTTAAGTTCATGGTGTCGTTTTATTAAGGGTCCTTATGTAATTACACCATTTCCTAATAATGTAATAGAAGGCCGGGTAGATTCAAAATACTCATCCTTTTTCATTACATACTCCATATGTTATTAGTATGGGAATGGACATGATAATCCAATTAGGGGTTCTACTGTTCACAATCGGAATATTCTACGCCATGTACAATCTTCCCAGGCGAGCTTTCACCCGAACCCGGTTAAGAGACCGCTCCAACAACCAGGCTCACCAGCATTTCATTCTGGGCGCCCAACTACTATCCAAAGCCCGATCCTCCCGGAGCAAGTCCGCCTCATTCAAGCTCGCCAAGGCCGCCGCCGGCGAGGCTGACAAAGTACTTACGCTCGACCCCAGGGACCCCGCCGCGCACATCCTAAAGGCCCTTGTACTGGACCTAATGGGCCACAAGGCCGCCGCGCTGAAATCTCTGGACACGGCGCTTTCTCCGCCGTCCGTAAGGGAGCTGTCGGATCGGGAAAGAGGGGACGCTCTGTTCAAGCGGGCGGAGTTGCAGGTGGCGCTTAATCGGAGGAGACGAGCGAGCTCTGCGGTGGCGGATCTCGAGCAGGCCGTGAAGCTGAGCGCGGACAATGCCGGCGCTTACTGTCTATTGGGCCGCTGTTATGAGATGGAGGGCCTGAAGGAGGAGGCTGAGAAGTCGTTCCGAAGTGCGTTGAGGATCGAACCGGAGTTGGCTGCAGCCCATGAAGGGTTGGGTCGCTTACGCCCATAATGTTTTTGTGGGCTTAGATAGATTGTTAGTTGAGACTTGAGAAGATGACAGTTCAGCCATTTTCATTTTCACCATCACATATCTGTATTTTGAAGTACATTTTCCCTGTTTTGTAATTATACAGAGTACTACCTCCGTAACGTAAATATCTTCTCACTTTCCTTTTTTGGACGTAACACTAATATCTTCCCATTTCTAAATCTTCTCATCATACCCTCAATAATTTTAAAAATAATACACTATTACACCTACTTTTTTTGGATTTATCCTTCATTCCATCATATTATTTCACTATCTTCCCATCATACCCCTAATAATACATATCTCTTTTCACTATTCTTAATCTACCTACTTTTCCAATGGGAACATCCCAATGTTACGGAGGTAGTAATATTTATATTAATACGGAGTATCTATCTACCCCATTTTTAAACAAGTGCAATGTGTCGGATTTTGTAATATTTACATGTTTTACTTTGATTACGTTTTATTTATTATTGTATCATAATACTCTGTATTAATATAAATATTACTTTGTATACTTACAAAACTGGGAAAATGTACTTCAAAATACAGATATGTGATGATGAATAAACAAATACCATGATATACCTCTTTAAAATAAGTAACTTGTGACTTACTATGTATTACTTCCTCCGTTTTTTTGGTGCAACGGTCAACATTGCACACTTGCCAACGCACATCTATGACTGCAATTATATCTTAATCCCTATTAGTAAAAAATATTTAAAAATTAGATTTTGAAAATTTGTAATAAGATGAATTGAACAATATAATTTTAAAAAAATAATTTTCATAAAACAATAATATAAAATGTAGTCAAAGTAGAACATGTGAATAGTGTAAAATTCAACATGTTGCGATTAAAAAGAGACGGAGGATAGTATTTATGTTTTCTCGTACAAATTTCAAAATATAGATTTAGGCTTTGTTTGCAACCACTTGTGCTTAAATAAAAGCACTTTTTGGAAAAAATGATTAGTAGTAAAAGTTTGTAGTGTTTGGTAAAATAAGTGCTTTATGTGTAATAGAAAAAGTAAAAAGTAAATTCTACACAAAAACCGAGATAGTAAAAGTTGGTAGTGTTTGGTAAAATAAATGTTTTTTTCTTTAAAAAAACCAATAGCACTTATCAACAGAGATTGCAAACAAAGCCTTAATGGTATCAAGTATTGCAATAGTAAAAAGGGAAAAGGGGCAAAAATGACCCTAATGTTTTGTTGTAGGAGGAGATATGACCCTAAACTTTTTTTGGGTGAAATAACTTGGAAATCACGTTTTTTTTGACAATTTAGGCACCTCCACTTACGGCACCGTTAGTTTTAATATGAGCCTAAGTAAATAAGGGGGTGTTTGGATCTGATTCTCAAAACTGATTCTGCTCCTTCAGGGAGCAGAAGAAGAAGCTGGAGTGTTTGGGTGAAATTCCAGAAGCACTTCTGAAGATCTAATTTACTCTCAGAATCAGTTTTTTTAGAAGCTGGGAGGTACCAACTTCTGAAAACTGATTCTGATTCTGCTTCTGCTTTTAAAAAAGAAGCGGAAGCAGAATCAGTTCCAAACACCCCTAAACCTGTTACAAATTAAAAGTGAGTGGATTGTCTTATCATCTTTAACAAAAAGGAGCCACAACGACGTAGCATGTTTTAAAGATTTTTAGGTCTTCAGTTCTTCACCAAACAAATAAGGTCAGACGTGCACTAATGTCTTTTTTTTTTTGTTTTTTTTTTTGTTTTGTATTTGCTTCTTAAATCTGGATAGATTTATTATAGGATTTAAATTGATTTGTGGTTGGGATGAATCTCAATTCATATGGGGAAAATCACATTTTCAATATCTCATATGGTACACACATCAAAATGTAGTCCCTGTATCTTTTAGTTTGGAAATTTCACCTCCCGGGCTTAGTTGCATTAAGGATGTGATCATAACCATTAAAGATGTTTTTACTTGGACTGAAATTGCCGGTTTTGTATGGTTTAGTCTGATCTGTTTAAGTCTGATCTGGTCTGATAAATGTTTGGTCTCTATGTATTTTATAACTATGGAATTCAGGTCGGGTTTGGTCTGATTTGTTTAAGTTGGTCGGATCTAGTTAGGTTAGTTTAAATTTAATCTGGTCTGGTCTGGGACTGAAAACAGTCCAAGTAAAGTCATCCTAAATACGTAGTATGAACTAACACCGTCAACTTTTATAACTTTTGACACGAATAGCGTTACAATTTCAGACAGAGAAAAAATCTATGATGATTAAAAACTCATTGTACCGATAATTATTATCTCTAAAATTACAACACTGATAAAAATGTTCATCGAAAAAAATCCAATTTTATAAGCAATAAATGTCCAACAGAGAACAATAAAAAGAATGTCCAACAGAGATAAAAAAAATGTATATGAATTGACCAAAATTAAAATAGCATCGCTTTTATACACATTTAAAAAATATGAGACTGCTTTAAAAGTTAAAAATATGATGAATATCTTTGTGCTATAACCTGAGAAGGGAGTTGCTTTAAAAGTTAAAAATATGATGAATATCTTTGTGCTATAACCTGAGAGGGGAGTTGCGTAGTTTCATTCATATTCTATCAAAACAATTAATATTTTATGAATTCTAGCATCTATTTATATTTGTTACCTATAAAAATTGTCCCATGGATTTTATGGGACAATTTTTTATTTATTTATAAACTGTATTCAAAACTTATTATATATTTCAATCATTTTTTCCATGTTGTTTTTGGTAGGCCTTGTTTAATTTAAATTTAAAGTAAATAATCCATTTGTAATTTGTACTCCAAGTCGTGCATAGGCTGTTAGTACCCAATTAGTTAGGAGGTTAGTACCCAACCGTTAGTACGTACTTAGTAGAAAAGGTGTCTGGATTCTCAAAAAAACTTAATTCCTGTACCTATTTCACCTTAAAAAAAGTTTAGGGTCATATTTCTCCTTGGAACAAAACATTAGGGTCATTTTTGCCCCTTTTCCCTAGTAAAAATGGTTGACATTGCGTGTTAAAAGTCACATGTTTAGTGTTCAATATATTACTAATTTACTACTTCTAGTAGTGTAGACGTAAAAAGAAATTACTACTCTTGTAGTAATTTTCTTTTACATTTTAATAGCAATTGTGATTATATCATTACATTTTTCTTTATAAGTATACATATAAATATGATCTAGTAAGGTCTGGTAGATGTTTTTGTAGAATTCGGTATGCAAATCACTCATTAGTGGAGTAAATGCCAGTGAACATTTACCAGATTTTATTAAAATAAAGAAAGAATACAAATGGTAAGGGAGACTAGACCAAAACCCCACTAGTAAAGACATACCTTCTCAAAATACGAATAGGAGGTCCCAAATAGGAAGCTCTCAAACAGAAGAAAATATAAGTCGATCTTTGGGCCGAGCCCAATGGATATTTGGCTAGGAGGTGAGCAGCCCAATTCACATTCATCCAAGTATGTACAATCTAAACCCCGTTTCTACATATGAAGTAGGGGTGGGATTTTGGAACCGCGAACCGTAGAACCGATTGGAATCGAACCGTTAACAACATCTAAGAACCGAACCGTTAACAATTAATACCTTATTTGTAGGAACCGAACCGAAGCGAGTTATAACGGTTCGGTTCCTGGTTCCTATAAAAAATATATGCATGGAACCGTTAAGGAACCGTTATTAAAAAATTAAAAAATAAAATAATATTAGTAGTAGTAGTAACAATAATAATAATATAATAGCAATAATAACCACCACCACAACAATAATAATAAAACAATATAAGATATTTAACTAACAATTCTAATTTAATCAACGAAAACGAAGTAATAAATATTGTACATGAGGTTGATATAATACATTAAACTCCTTTCTACAAATCAAGTTTTGTTCCATCACATAAATTTTATAAATACAAAATAACTCAAATAACTTGTAGTTGATTGCACATATTTTACTTTACTATTTTCATGATATTTCTAATTATTAGATTTATTATGAATCAATAGAGTGTAACAATGTTTTTTATATCTATACATGCGAACTCAATGCGTTTTTTTTTATGTTTTGAAAGACTTGAAGTAGACATCATATTCTTGCTACTATGATGACGAGTAACCTTCATCGCTCCCACACTACAATGCAAATTCAATGTATTTTTTTTATGTTTTGAAAGACTTGAAGTAGGCGTCCTATTCTTGCTACTATGATGACGAGTAACCTTCATCGCTCCCACACTACTATGATTTTTATGTTTTATTTATTACATGAAAATTTAAATCATCTTTTGTTCTATTAAGTGTTCACAATTCGGTAATTAGGTTTGAGCTTTGATGTTTGAAGTGATTAGAGCTTCAAATAAAATTTTAATACTCGTGTTTTGAATTTTCGACGTGTTTATGTTGTTTGTAGAAAGTAAATTATGTATTAATTCTTAGTGAGAAAAAATTATTCTAGGAACCGGTAAAAGAAAGAACTGAACCGTTTACTACCGGTTCGGTTCCATAACGGTTCTTGATTTTTTTATATAGGAACCGAACCGATTTCATTAGTTAAAACTTTTATAACGGTTCCACTCATTTTGAGTAAGAACCGAACCGGTCCCAGCCCTAATATGAAGCCTTTCATCTTCCGAATTAGGAAGTTCCAGTTACCTAGGGCAGAGTCATTCAAGTCACAACACGCATAGCCTATGTAGCACCGATACCGGTACGCGGAAACGCGGAAACGCAGAAACGAGTACGGGGATACGTCAAAACCAAAAAAGGTAGGATACGGATACGGGGCCATATTTATAAATATTAAAAGTTATGGGGGGTGTATTTACAAATACTAAAAGTTATAGGGGTCTATTTATAAATATTAAAAATAGATTTTTTTAATATATATATATATATATATACACACACACACACATATAATATCCTATGATGTCTGCCTATTCATTGCTTTGAAGCATTTTCCTTTTTCAAGATACTTAGTAATAAATTCATAATATTTCTCATATACACTAGTCATCTCGAAATATAAATATAGTCAATAAGTCATTAATTTAAAATGAGAAATAAGTCAAACAACTACAATCTTGAAATTAAAAGTGCAAGTATCCAATTCGGAGTATGAGTTAATGACTTAATTCGGATATAGTC